ATTTCGTTATAGCGCTCAGTGCCGGGGTGTGGAGAAGCAGTGGTAGCAGCAGGCAGTGGCAGCAAGGCAAGTGGGAGTGGCAGCTGCGGGAGCCCAGGACGAGGTGGCAGGAGCGCAGGGTCCACTCCAGCACGTGGTGCTGGAGCAGCTAGTGGGTGGGGAGGAGCAGCAGCAGTAGCAAGAAGGGATGGGTGGGCGGCAGGAGTGCAGGGTCCAAGGCCAGGGCCAGCAGGAGTGCAGGGCCTGGGCCAGTGCAAGCCGAGCCCACAGAGCTCCTCTGCCCCCACCCCCTGCAGCGATCTGGCAGTGGTGGCTCATTCCAGTCCTGGGTGCCCTGGAAGGAGTCCCCGCTGGGCAAAGCAGGGTGTGGGCGGGTGGCCCCACTGCTTACCCTGCCCCAGAGCCCTACTGCCATCTCACCATAGATCCCTGACTCAGGCCCAGCGGGCAGGGCAGCTGGGACCGTGCACTGGTGGCCGGCAGGTGCGGGCTGGCAGAGGTATTGCGGCAGAGGAACAATGAGGCCGGGAGGAGCTGATGACTTCCCTGGCAGAGCCCACGTGGTGCCTTGCTGGGAGCGCCCTGGCCAGGGCCAGCAGGAGCACAGGGCCTGGGCTGGCAGGGCCTAGCATGGGGCTGCAGGAGCGCAGGGTCTGGGCTGGCAGGTGGTGCGAAAACAATTATCATTATTTATGTTAAATCCAATGGGGAAATGGGTTTCGCTTAACGCTGTTTTGCTTAGTGCTTGGTTTTTCCAGAACCAATTAAGAGTGCCAAGCGGGGGTTACCTGTGCCCAACTTAAACCTCCCATACTGCGACTTGAGTCCATTGCTCCTTGTTCTATCATCTGCCACCACTGAGAACAGTCTATATCCTCTTTGGAACTGCCCTTCAGGTAGTTAAAGTCTGCTATCAAATCCCTCCTCAGTCTTCTCTTCTGCAGACTAAATAAATCCTAGGGATGTATTCAGATAAATGTACAGGTTCCACAGAAATGCCACAGACTTCTCTCCTGTGCAAACCTTCTCTCCTGATTCAAAACAACTTGCAGCTGTACTACCTTCTGGTAAGCAAATGTATCTCTATGCTCTGTATCCTGTCTGTCTACAACTTGTTTCTGGCACATTAGGTATCCCTTATGGTGGTTTGCAGGCTTTCTTTGTATCTTAGCCTGGGATCCATGCCTGTTTGGATCACACCATTTAGAAGTGGCAAAGACTTACTTCAGTTGATCATTTACTCTATCCTTCTGCCACTGTAATTGTTGACAGTTTCTAGTGCTTTGTTTCAGCCACATAAATGAGGATTCCACCATTTCTTTTCCCAAGGTTATTCTGCAGCATAATGGGACAGAATTTTCAAAAAGTAAAATCTTATTTAATTCACATATGTTGCAAAAATGACTAATTTAACCAAATGTTGTTAAATTAGCAAATAAGCAGTATCTGCATCTTTGGGCCCTGCTACACGTGCTTGTTAAAGCTGGATAGAAACCAGTTATAAAGTTGTTATACATTTTCAAGCACTAACCCAGTAGCTGATTGACTCTTCTTATAGCTGGATGGACATTTTATGGTGTGATAATGACTTTGCACATATGGCTGGTTTAAATGTATTGCATGGTTAACCAGTTAACTGCATAATATATGTAACATGTGGCAGGGGCCTTTGTATTTACCCCACACCCAGAAGATCATATTCTTTTGCCTGATGGTGTGCTGAGGCTGCATCTGTGCCAGACATACACTCTGCTAAGGTTGTATTTGTGCCTACCATGCCCTTGTGCCAGAATTAGCCCACCTACACAATAATGAGTGAAGCACAAATTCCTCACTTCCATCTTATTGATCATGGCTGTAAGATGAATTTAGCATTGTCCAACTCCTCCCTATAGCTCTTTCTCTTTCCTTAGAGAGTATAATATTATAGGTTGAGTAATTAATATGTTATTCTCCCTTTTAATATTCCCAGTTACATTCGGGTATTCCAGAAGAAATGCTGGTCACTATTGAGATTGTATCTTTGGGGGTTTCAACTTACTCAGCTCTATAATGAATGAAGCTGTTGACTCTTATGGATTCCAAAGTGATTGTTTGTTCTTTGGGCCTTTATACTCTGGACCAGCAGTTCTCATCTTCTTTAGCCTCAAGGCAGTTGAATTTCTGAGTTTTGAGGCACCTTAGTTGAGAATCACTGAGCTAGAATCTAAATTAAAAGAAGATAGGAAGGCGGTCCCTTCAGACTAAATAGGTTGAGAAGCAGTGCTCTAGCTGGTGCAAGGTAAGGGAGGCAAGGGCGGGACCTAACGGTGCCATGCCCTGTTCTTTCCATTCTCTGCCCCTCCCCACTCCCAATCTCTACCTGTGAAAGGGCAAGTGTGGCCCCTGCCACTGAGGCTGTTCCTGCATGGTTTCACACCTACAGGCTTTCCCATGGGCCCCAAGAGTGTGAGAAGAGTAAAGGGGACAAGCTAGGCTGCAAAATATGTCCACCCACCTGCAGCAGTGTTTTCTGCTGGGAGTGTACGGGTAGTTGGCATAGGGGCTGTTGGCCCTTCTGTCAGGGAGGGGCAGCAGCAGTCCTGAGAAGAAGTAGCTGCAAACACTGAGTTAGGGCAGGCACAGGACACTGGAGAGGGGGAGGAGAGCACTTGCCTTCTTTCACAAGGGCTGTGCAGTGTGGTACCCTGAAGCAAAAAGACTCTCATCAAAGGCTCAGAGTATAACCTCATTAAGAATGCATATGGGGACAGTATAACCTGAAGAGTTTTGAAGTCTTGGTAAATAATTCATTTTTTTCTGAAAAATGAGCGAAGTTAATTAGTTCTTGTGGAATTGCCAGACAGTGGGCATTAAAAGTTTATTATAATGCTTTGTCTCTTGGATAAGGAAAAGAAGTATACAGTTTACATCAAGGGCAGGCAATTATTTTGGGTGGAGGGCTGCTTACCCAGTTTTGGCAAGCTGTGGAGGGCCACATGGGTAGCCCTGCCCCTTGACAGGTGCCCCACCCCCTGGCCACCATCTTGGGACCAATGTCCCAATGTCTCAGGGCCAGCACCGGTGGGGCCCAGAGCAGGGCACAGGCTGGCAGGGGTCTGTGGAGCAGGGCTGGGCTGCAGCTGCAGGGAGAGCGGGGAGCTGGCCCAGCTCCATAGAGCCACTGCCGGCTGGGACCCTGTACTCCTGCTGCCCTGCTCTGGGCCCTGCCGGCGCTGGCCCTGGCCCTGGGATACCGGTGCAGGCCCCATGCACCTGCTTACTCTCAGTGCCCCCACTGCCCTGTGGTACAGGCGGGGGGCAGAGTGCAGCCCCAATCCCCTGCTCCCTGGCAGGGAACAAGCTGGTTCTGAGCATGGGGAAAAGTGGCCCCTCCACTGCCTGGCCCTGCCCCTCCAGCCGGAAGACCCAGCAGGGGCTTCTGGCCTGGGACCACGTGGCTGCCCCAGCGCCGGAACCTCAGGTAAGGGGCAGGGGAAAGGGCAGGGAAGGAGCTGGTGCTGAGAACGGGGAAAAGAGGCCACTCCCCCACCCCCTGGCTGACGCTCCCTGCTGCAGCCACTCGCAGCCTGTGCAGGGCTGTCCTGAAGAGGCACAGGCAGCCCCATGTGGGCTGCAAGTGGCTGCAGCACAGGGTGCCGGCCACGGGGTGGGCGAGGAGCTGCTTTTCCCTGTGCTCAGCACCATCTTGTAACCCAGCCCCATGCTGGCTCCAGGCTCACCTGTTGGGGCTGTGCTGTGGCAGCAGCAGCTGTGGCCCCCCTGCTTGCTGTGTCAGGCAGTGTTTGCTGCTGCTGGCTGCCCAGAGCTTGTGCAGAGGTTTCTGGCCTGGGACCACGTGCCTGCCCCGGCGCTGGAACCTCAGGTAAGGGCTGGGGGGAAGGGCAGTGAATGAGCTGGTGCTGAGCATGGGGAAAAGTGGCCCCTCCCCTGCCTAGTGGCCGGCGCTCCCTGCTGCAGCTGCACACAGCCCGTGTGGGGCTGTCCTGAGCAACACGCAGCCTACTGGGGCTTCTGGCCTGGGGGGCGGAGTTAGGCAGGCCTGCTGTTGTGGGAGCCCTGCTGCAGGGCTTCCCCTGGGTCCTACTGCCCCTGGTTCCTGTCATTTTTGACAGGAACCAAAGTCAGATAAATATTAATTTTCTAAATTTTTTAGGGGTCCCATGGGCCAGATAGAATGGCCTTGTGGGCTGGATCTGGCCCACAGGCCATATTTTTCCCACCCCTGGTTTACATGCAGAGTTGTATAGTCAGTCATTCCTAACTTATTTACTATTTTTTGAATGTAGCAAAAGGGTTCTTTGTTACTAAGGTATTTTTACTTTAGAGGTTAGAAAATTTAAATGTCTGAAAAAATATACACACATATGTAAAAATATTTTGGCTCTCATTAACAAATGGAGCTAATTTCTAATTGCTTGCAATCCTTCCACCTGTTGTTTTTGTTACTAATAACCACTGCTTTTGTTGGTTATCAAATTTGGTTCCTGTCATTTTTGACAGGAACCAAAGTCAGATAAATATTAATTTTCTAAATTTTTTAGGGGTCCCATGGGCCAGATAGAATGGCCTTGTGGGCTGGATCTGGCCCACAGGCCATATTTTTCCCACCCCTGGTTTACATGCAGAGTTGTATAGTCAGTCATTCCTAACTTATTTACTATTTTTTGAATGTAGCAAAAGGGTTCTTTGTTACTAAGGTATTTTTACTTTAGAGGTTAGAAAATTTAAATGTCTGAAAAAATATACACACATATGTAAAAATATTTTGGCTCTCATTAACAAATGGAGCTAATTTCTAATTGCTTGCAATCCTTCCACCTGTTGTTTTTGTTACTAATAACCACTGCTTTTGTTGGTTATCAAATTGCCCAGCTGTCCTGTTTTTTCATGACATATAATCCTCTTGATAATGTTTTTTCCCTATTAGAATAATTTGGTATTGGCTAAGTAATTGTATCCCATATGGCATATTTACTAGATTTTATTTTATTTTGAAGCATCTGCAAAACGGAGCTACTCCAAAGAGATGATCCCATATATTACCCATAGGTCAGCAGACATAACTTCTGTTTCATCCAGGATCCATGGGCCACTAGATGCAACTCCAGTTTTATCCACACTCCTTAATGTATCTTCAAGACCGAGCATACCATCAGGTAACTCAAGAAGCTAATTCTGCCTATGAGAGAGGGAGATCTTAGAACAGAGCCATTTCCATTTTTATTTGATGAAAAAAATTACATAATGGGCTAGGTCCACGTGGTACGTGCAAGAAATGGCATTTGGACTTACTGTTCTTTGTGGGATAGCTATGCCAGAAGAGGTAGAGAGGTCAGTAAGAGAGACATTTTGTGCATTCCATTTGATTTTTAAATCCTAACAACATTTAAAACTGCATGCAGATAGGGCCATAGATATTAATGCATGTTTTCTAATGAGGATTTGTTAATTTTGACAATTGGAGTTTTTTCCAGTGTGCTGCTTATTTTTCTCAGAAGTGCAGTGTGGCTAATTTAATTCTAAAACCAAATTTAATTCTAAAGGATTAAAACAGAACCTTTTTGGAAGTGATTATGCTTTTCTTTGCTGTTTTTGTGTTAAAGTACTAATCTGTTGTACTTTATCTGATTTTACATAGCACATGCAGGGATGGAAACTCAGTCATCAGCGTGGAAGAGAAGGATAATAAACAAAAAGTCTTTCATTTCTCAGAGCAAGGGACTTAAGGGTAACTGTTTTCCTTATTAACAAAATACTTCTAGAAAACTCAACCTAAACTGAATTGTGTATTCTTGTCAGCATTGCGGAAGGATTTCAGTTTTATAATCATATTTGTCTTAAAATGTTTTACCTCCTTTCCTTATATCATTATAGATTACTGTGAGAACATACAATACTAAATTACTAAAATAGAGATTTTAAAAATAACCACTTTCACTCAGTTTATGCACCAGTTTATTGCCATTGTACATGGCTATGGAAGGAACTTATAGGCAGAACTGATCAAGCATTTTCTTGTGAATAGCTTGTCAAAAAATACTAATTTTCAAAACCCCCCAAATATCTCATTTAAATATTTCCATTTGGATTAACTTCTGACAGAACAGTGTTCCCACATAAGTTTCTGTTGGAAGCCTGCCTGCTTTTCTGTCAGCTTACCTTTCAGGCTGCTGGGGAGCAAGAACCAAACACTTACATTTCATTTAAATAAATGTATACAGTCTGTATTTACATTACATACAGTATATATTTTAACAGTTAATCAAATACAGTGTTCTATAGTGCTATGAGTCAGCTGTGTTGTATCCTGAAGTGTCTCATTATACTTAGCCTCAGGACTGATTCTGGGAGCTCTTTCAAAAACTCCCCAAAACATTTTTTGGAATAAAACAATTTATGGATCAGTTCTGCAGCGATTTCCTTGACTGTTTCAGTGAGCAAGTAGAATGGATTGCCCTGGGCTCAGACTACTATGTAGACTGTGGAGTTGGGAGTTTTCTAGAGAAGACCTGTCTTGTGCATTGCCTTGAGGCTAGACTTGAGGATTTCCATGTTCCCTGCTGTGGAACCAGGATCCCAGGAACCCTGTGGATTCTTAAGGCTTCCAACTATTTCAGAATTGGGAGTATAGCTGGCCTTGAAGTCCCAGCTGAAGCCAGTATTTATAGAATTGTAAGTGGCCCTGTCTTAGAGACTGGAAGCTGAAAGTCTAAGAATGGCTTCTGGCATCCCTGGCTTGGAGATAACCCTACCATGTAAACTGTCTTGCACCAAAAATCCCAAACTTCCATAATTCTTGGCTCATTAAGTCCCATAGGAGGAGAAACAATCAGCCTTGACAGTTTTGTGGTGGAAAGGACTATCTGGACTAGCAAGGGGCCACTGAGAACATTCAGAATATCCAGAAAAGAAATTTGAGACTCTGGGAGGGTTGGGGGCTAGGGAGGTGAGGGGGGTAGGTGCATAGTTAACAGAGTTCTTCAAATTTGTCCTCAAAGGCTTGTACCAGATGGTAGGAAGTCAGGAAATTGTGGAGGGAATGGGGAGAACTACTTTTTCTCTCCTGGTGCCATGTTAAAGGCAGGAGAAGCAGAAGTATCAGTAAAGGAATGAGTAAGGGAGTAGAGAGAAACACTTGTAACTATGTGGGACAACAACCCATAGAAGTGAATAGAGAAGGAACTTGTAGGTTTCACTGGGGTGCTGTTTACTGCCAGGGCTCAACAGTGATTAGTATGAGGCGCCTGGCAGATGTTCAGTGAAAGATGTGATGGGATCTGATCTGTAATCCCAACGATCATAATAACAATCCCATACTACATGTGCATGGCAGGAGGTGTGATTCTGGGATTGGGGATCAGAACCTAATTGTGCCCTCTAGCTAGTGAGAGGGGAGCCCAGGATCATGATTAACTTTTGATCATGATCCCAGGCTCCCCTTGCACTGGCAGTTAGCAAGGTGGGTGCCTGGTGTGTCCAGCTGAGAGTGCCAGTCAGCTGATGGGCACTCCCAGCCTCAGGAGCACACTAGAGCCCTTCACTCCAGTGCACTCACAAGGCTGGGAGTGCCAGTCAGCTGATTGGTCACATATTCAATTTAAGACTTGATGGGAACCAGCCACAAAGTTATTACTAATGGCTATTAGTTATTACTGATAACTTTATGGCTTATTCCGTGTTTTATCACACTATTAATTACATGAATGTGTGACCATGTTACTACTTAATGTGATTACCTGGTTAATCACATCTTAAGTGTAATGTCTGCCAGTGTCCTGAGATATGATAAGCAAGCCCAATGATTAAATGTTTTTTCCTCATGGGGTGTGCTAGGCTCTGGATGTGTGACTCTGAGGTTAGCTGTTTTATACAGCAAAATAAATGTTTGAATTTATTCAAATAAATTAATCATATGGTATACCAGCATCATTTAAGACTGATCTTTATATTATAGTAAGCTTATTGAATATCTTACTATGTTTTTTTTTACAAAAGTTTACCCTTTTTATTATCTTAAAGTATAAAATACCATAGCCTGATGTATTTGATAGAAGTATTGGTTTTGGTTTTAGGATTGTTGGGTTCCTTACCAACTCCTCAGAAAACTGAAATCGTAAGTAAATAGAACTTATTTAGAAATACATAACCATTCACTTGAACTGTTTTCAGATGCTCAAATAAGTTAAGTGAATTAAGATAGGTTTCTTAAACAATAGACTAAGCCAGGGGTGGGCAACTGTTTTATCTGTAGGGTCACTTAAGTTTTGGTGAGGTGCCGAGGGCCCCACACACAATTTTTTAGAAGATATCATTTTAACAAATTATATATATAAAACAATTCATATACTAAAAATCAAATATCTACTATATTTTGTTTAAAAAAAATGTCTTGATTTCTACTTTTTTGAGTAGGCAATTGCATAACAGCTCAAAATAGTCGTCTTATTCTTGTATAGTGGGTGGGTGGGGGGGGTGTGTATGGTCGGGGGGGGTGGTGCTTGTGCACTAAGTCCCAGGAGCTGGCCAGGGCTAGGGGAGGAAGGTAGGGAGCAGAGGGCTCATGTAACAGAGCATATCCAGGCAGTGTGGTTCAGATGCATTCTGCCCCTCCCAATTGGCGCACTGCTGCCCCTGCAGGACTCCAAATAGGGTGGAGCCCTGCCTGCTCCTGTCTGGGGCACCCATGCCCCCAGCCTCAGCCCCAGCTAGTGTGCACAGCTTCCTGGCAAGCTGCTCCTTGTGCACTTGCAGCTGCCCAGGTACTGAGAGCTGAAGTTGGAGTTGGAGCCCAGGTGTGCAGGCTGCCCAGGCAGGAGTGTGTGGAGCTCAGCCACATGCAGAGCACTGCAGGAACAGCCATGGGCTAGATTCAATTAGTTGGTGGTCTGAATCCTGCCCACAGGCTATATTTTTCCCACCCTTGGACTAAGCTATTCAATTGGGTAATTTTGGAATGTTTGGGGTTTCATATTTGGATTTTCTATTTTAGAAGATACACATATTTTTTCTTGAGTGCAACCTGTACCTTTCCCCTCCAAATTGGGAATGGCGTATTAAGCAAGGAAACTGATTTTCTCCCTAGGATGGAAGCAGCCTGCTTTGATTCCTGCTCCAGTTCAGCAACTGTGCCATTACTATTCTGTCAGTTGAGGGGTTCATTTAACTAATATCACATTGTTCTTCACTCCACACTTGTTAATGATTGTCTTTCCTTTTTAATAGCTTGATCAAACCAACCTTTCTTACAGCAATTTTGCAGTCTGCTGACTGCTTATGGTCTCTCTCTTCCTATTGAACAGCCCTTGAAGACTCTTTAGCTCTTCCTAAAGTCATAGATCCACCCATGGAGACCAGTCTTCAGCAACAGCTAGGGTTTTAGTTAACCAGGAAAGGGAGGGTTAATCAGCTAACAGCTAGGCTCTATACATACTCTGTGCAACCATAACTCTGGAAAAATATTTTTTTCTTCATTTTACCTTTCAAAAACAAGATGTGCATTATATTCTGGAGCATGTTGTATGCAAGAAAATACAATATTAAAGTTGTTGTCAATCTAGAGCAGGATTATAGTGCTTCTATTTGTTGCCTTTCTCTGCTCCTCCACAGTAGGAGCTAGCTCTGTTGCAAGAGAAAAACTAGCTGATGTGTTTATGGTGCCCAGAATGTGTTTTATAAGAAAACCATTACATACTATGAGATGGAGAGTTCAGATCTTACATTCTGGAAAATATGGGAAAAGAGAAAATATCTCCTGAGATTTGAATTGGTCAGGCATAGATCAGTCAACATAATTTTATGGTGAGACTGAAGCTGTAAATAGACATCTCATTTAAGATGGGCCTCACATGTTCTCAGGTTTGACCTGAATCAAAACAGGCACAGTAAACACATCTTAACATGCACTGCTGTTCCTCTGCCAATAGGCAGCGGGTGAGAGCGCACAGCCTGGACACCTTGTTGCTGTACTGATTTGCAATAACCCTGCAGACACACACAACCATGTCTAGGAAAAAAATGTTAGTACATTTTATCCCCTGTATTTCAGACTTGAAGTTGGACAATGGATTTGTCCCAAGGTGATTCTACAGATGTACAAAAGTCTTTCACCCAAGACAAATTCCATGTCTGTTTACAGCCTGAGGCATGAAGACATTTCCTTTTGAACTAAAAGACAATTTTTAACAACCAGTAATCCAGGGAAGCTATTGCTTTTTTCTTGTCATTAGATCTGATGCACCTGGCATATCTGCAAGGGGTTTGGCCCACTGTTTTTTTCAGGTGACAAACACTAATGTGAATATACTTGACTGTACACTTGGTTTCCAGATTAGAGTTAAGTTTCTCTTTGATTTAATATTCACATGGAATACACTCTTGAACTTCATGTGTTTCATGCATGCCCGAGCAGATTCTTTTGACCACCAAGGTCTGTTGGGGGCAGCACCTTTGTCCTCGATATCTTCCTGATCCTCACTGTGCCTGCCTCTGTTCTACCAGGCATTCTCGTGCGGCCTTAGCCCGGACTATCGATCTTGCCTGTCCCAGGCTTGTGAGTGGACCTCAAAGGCTACCCTGGCTGACGTCCGGGGATCCCCTTAACTCGCCTGCCACGACTCTGAATGGAACTTCAGTGGAGGGGTTCCCCTTCGAGGCAGCCTCCAGAGTCATTGTGCCTCTTGGTGGGCACTCACAGGGCTCCGACCTCCCCTACACCCTGGCCACTCGCCACTTTCGGTCGCAGGTCTTCTGGCCCTTCTGTGTCCCTGGTTCCACTCAGTTTCTTACCCAGCCTCCCGTGGCCCTCCAGCCACGAGTCCCAGTGTCCCTGGGTTGCAGCTCAGGCGTGAAGGCTTCGAGGACCTTGGTGCTAGATTCAACTATCCTGTATCCCTAGTGCCCTATTCCACCCACCCTCTGACGTAACGTGCGATCCCCACCACCGTGACTGCCGGAGAGATGCGACCGGTGGACCAGGAGGCCACAAAGGAATAAGGAGTGCCCTTAGCCTATGGGCCCTGTGTTTTCCCCGTGCTTATGTGTCCCAGCTCCGGTTGCTTGCCTCACTCAGGGCTCCTATCTCTCCCCTAGGCTAACCCTACTCGGGTATGGCATCCCAGTCAACTCTTCTGGGGGATGTTGTGGGCCCATCCGCTGGTTAACCGTCCCTGCTTGGGGTCTTCTGCCGCACCCCGCGGCTATCCCCGTTGGGGCTCCCGTCGGCCCCGCCCTCGTTACCTCCTCTCCGGGCTTCCCTGTAGTTGCTCTTGCCTCCTCAGCACTCATCTCCTCCTCTGCTCTTGCCACTCACCGCTGCTCCCATCGTCAGCTTCCCTGCCGGCTCTTCTGCCGGGCTCCCTGCCGGCTTGCCAGTCGGCATCCCTGCTGGCTTGCCGGTCAGTGCCTCTGCTGGCTCCACTGCCAGCTTCTCTGCCAGCTCCACTGCCGGTGTCTTTGCCGGCTCCGCTGCCGCTTTCTCTGCCAGTTCCACCCCCGTCGTCCCGGGCTGCCTAACGCAGCGGCTGCGCCCTTTGGGGTATGGGCTTCCCTGCCGAGCCTCTGCTCACTGGCTTTCCTCCTGTGCCTCCAGGGCCGCCTTTTGTTTCCGCTGGGTGGCGTCTCCAGCTGACGTCACTTGGCCCCAGCTGAATATGAACGCGGCTGATGAGCCGCGTGGGTGGTTCCTCTGCACGTGCCTTCTCACTCCTTTCGGCCCCTGAAGATGGTAAGTTGGGGCTTTCTTCTATTTTGGGTTGGGGTTCTCCTGTAACCCCGGCACCCCTGGGACACTCACTTACAGGCATGAAGGAAGGAGTGGGCCCAGTCATTCCTCAGTTTCTTCTTACCATACATTGCAGCAAGGGGGAGCCCCTGCTTTTCTAGATATACACTATGCTAGTATTTGTGTTGATTCCGACCCTTAGCTGGTAGTATTAGTATTTTTGCCTGTTGGCAAAAAACAGTTGCCGCCACCACCACCACCAAACAAACCCTTTCTCCTGTCCAAAATACTTTTTTATTAAGATAAGCAGTTTATAGACTAGTCCTCTGCTGTGTGTTTAACTACCCAACAGGAGGAGTTCTTATAAGACACAGCAGAGTTCTGAGGGTTCAGAAATTGCCCCAGGTAAGGTGCTCTGGTGCCATTGACAGAAGCACTGAGCAGTGTTTTATGTGTTGTTCTTTCCCTGTAAGGATTAAGAAGGGAAGAGATCCATGACAAATGTTTTTTTCCTGGAGTACTCTATGCAAGCTGTAATAAAAGGAAGGGGATAGTTTGACCTTACGGTTTAGTCAGTCTCCCTCTTAATAACCCAGGATTCCCCTCAGATCCTATTGTATGTTGACTCAAAGATTCCAGTTGTGTACATCCACGTCAGCATTAAAGGAGCAGGAAGGAGCATGACTTCAGAGGTGAACCAAGACATGTCATCCTTCCTGTTGGCTAACAAGATAAGACTAAACAATATCTGACTCCTCTTGTGTGCAGCCATCTTCACACCAGCCAGATCTTCTGTCCTTTCAGGTTAGATCCTTTTTCCCATCGAGGCAGCATAGGCCAACCCACACTAAGTATAGCTTCAAATCATGGAAAGGCAGGAGGATAGTGATGAGGGACACCTTCTAATAAGGGCATTCCCACTGCAATTTCCTCATCTTTTTCCAGTAAGGTGATTGTGGCCTCTCAGATGCCGTGATGCCTGCCTCAGATGATGACCCTAGTGCCTTCTGCAACAGTATTAAGCATATGATGGATATTCTAGATATATTGCAGAAAGCAGGGCAGGAGATACTTCACAAGCTTCTGGATTCTTGCACCTTTTTATACCCAGCAGGCTTGTCATATTAATAAATGAGAGGGACTGTTGGAGCTGGCAGAAGACCTCTGGCACATGCTAATGTTAATCCTGTGAGCTCAGAGTCACTTCCAAGGTAATCTGGATACTTATATTCCTTCTCATTACAAGGATTGCTTTTAGTACCTACTGTCCAAGAAAGGTCAAAGCAGTTGGGTCCTCATAAAAATATACATAGGGAGAAACTCAACTTAGTTCAGCGGTAAGTATTCTATTTTGCTAACCTCTAGGTGTTTGTAGTTAACTACCCAGAACTTCTATCTGAATTGGAACAACTATATCATTTTGTGGACAAGTTATCACTGGAATACAGAGAAGAACTGAAAACTGTTATGACTCAGAGATGAGAGAGAGGTCCTTGTTGGTCTAAGGACATAGGCAGACAAGTTATTTGGGTAGACGTGATATCTTGTATTAGACCAACTAAATAGTTGGAAAAATTGTTCTTTGCAAGTTTTGGGGCACAAACACCCTTCTTCAGGCATAGAGAGAGACTGCTTGTGAATTGTGTGCTCTCCTGCATAGAATAGAAGCCAATATGCAAAATGCAGGTCTGTGAAAATGCAAATGCATGGTAGTGAGGATCAGAGGTATGAGACGCAATAGGTGAGAGACAAGTGGGGATGGGGAGGGAATGTTGAACTGGTGACAGAAGAATGTAGCTGGTAAAATGCAGACGGGTTACCTGGGGTTATCAGATGGCACAAAGGTTATAATGTAGCATAAATTAAATGTCTATATTTAGTCCGTGATTTTTTTATATCCAGTAGATTTCTGAAGTGAAGTTTGTAGGCTTGTCTACAAAATGTATTTTGTAAATTCCCTTTGAAAATTAGAACTCAGAGATTGGAGAGAGAGTGGTTTTTGAAAAGTGTGCACAGGTAATTGTGTACTTTTGTCTTCGATAGATTTCTGATGCACGTTCATTCTGGTAAGTAGTTGTTGTTTGGTTTCTCCTACATATTTTCCATCAGGGTATTTAGTGCACTGGATAACATATATTACAGGTACAGGTGTAAGATCCAGGAATGGTGATAGTTCTGTTGTGGGGTGTAGTTATTGTGGGAGTGATGGAGATGTGTTGGCAGGTTTTACATTATTTGTCCTGGCCTAGTCTAGATCCATTTGGTGTGCTTTGGGCCATAGGAAGTTTGCTTCTGGTGATGAGGTTGGTGAGGTTCAGTGCTTGTTTAAAGGTTAGGATGGGTGGTTCTGGAAAGATCTCTTTAAGAACTGGGTCTTCTTCTAGTATGGGTTGCAATTGTTTGAGGATTTTCCATATAGGTTGCAGGGAGGGATGGTATGTTATAATTAATGGTGTGTAATTCGTGGGGATTTTCTTTTTGTACTGCAGCAATTCTTCACGTGGTATCTGGGTGTCTCTTTCAAAAGTATGATCTATCTCTCTGGAGAAGTGTCCTTGTTGGGTGAAAGCTTTCAGGATTTGTGAGATGGTGATCAGTGAAAATTCAGTGGTATCGGAGGGCTTGGACATATATTACAACTTTCTTGGTGTGTTTAGGGTGATTCCTGGTTTGGTATAGATATGTATGTTGGTCTGTGGGTTTCTTGTACATGGTGGCTTGTATTTTACCATTCTGTATATTGATCATAGTGTCTAAAAAGAAAATGTTGGTGCTGGAGTAGTCAAAGAATAGTCTGATGGAGGGGTGATGGTTATTGAATTTGTGATGGAAATCAAGCAGAGACTGCAGGTTTTCAGTTCAAATGATGAAGATATCTATATAACTTAGGTATAGCATGGATTTGATGGTGTAGTTCTTGAGGAATTCTTCTAGGTGGGCCATAAAAAGCTTGGCATATTGTGGAGCCATTTTGGTGCCCACAGTTGTGCCTATGATCTGGAGGAAATGTTGGTTATTGAATTTGAAGTTGTTGTGTGAGGATGAAGTGTATAAATTCAGTAATATCTTTGGGTCTGTACTCTGAGTTGTAATCTTACTCCTGTTGATATGTAAGGCAAGCTTAGATGACATTCTGGTGTGGGATGTTGGTATATAAGTTGTTGACATCCATGGTGGCTAGGAGGGTATTGTTGGGAAAATGGTCTATGTTTTTAAGTCTTCGTAGGAAGTCTGTTGTGTCTTAGACACAACTTGGTCTTTGGATGACAAGAGGTTTTAGGATGGATACAATGAAACCTGTATTTCCTCAGTTAGGGTTCCATGGTTGGTTATTCTAGGAACACATCTGTGATAATGTAGAGCCTTTGGAGATTCCCAGAAAGGTTCTGATAACAACTGAGGCCTTTCCTTAAAGAGTAATAAATATTTTAATTAAAAATGCATGTGGTCTTCCTTTTATCGGGGGACTCCAGTAGGATTCTTTTTTGGGGGGCCCATACATTCCAGTGCAAAGAATGAAGCAAACGCTTCCTGCAGGCAGAGTACTGTTATGAGCCTCAGAGGGACTAAAAACTGTGGAGAAACAAGCAGAGGTTTCAGTAAAAATGACCCTCTATTTCTTCCTCTGCTGCTGCATATATTTGCATTTTTCACCAGACAACAGGTTTGATACCAGTTTGGAGAGTGTGATTGAAACACTGGAGCACCTTTCCCTTTCCTTCCCCATGTTGAAAACTGGCTCCTACTTTCAGAAAGCCTAGACTCAGAACATCTCAAACTAGTGGGTGCTGGAAATGTCAAGAGTTGTATTAATTCCAGTCCTTTTTGTGTGATGGTGCTCATGAGATGCTGCTAAAACTAGCAGTGGATTTTTTTCTACAACGTGGAGCAGTAGCATAAGTGCACTAAGAATTCTCATCCCAAAGAGGAAAGGGGCTTAGATTCCTGTTTTGAACAGAATTCATATATTGTTTCAAGTTCAGGAAAACAATTTTGCCTTCATAATTCTCTCATTAGGTCCTCAAATATAGATTTATAGCTCTTTAAAGCTTAGGGTGTCCCTTGATAACATTTGTTTTAGTAATATTCAGTTATATGCTTAATAATAAGCCTACACTGAGGGAGTTTATTGTATTATAGTAGTCTCAAGCACCTTATTCATTACAGCAACTGTAATTCCAGAAGGGGGTCATGTGTCAGCAACATTTGCAAATAACTTCCCTCTTCCCCAGTGAATTTTCTCACTCTTTTGTGGCTAGATTTCTTAAGGGTGAGACCATCTCATATTTTTACCAAGTTCAGGAATTCCTTCCCTCTTGGGACCTCACAATACTGTTAATAGACTGATGAATCCTTCTGTTGAGCTTTTAACAATCTGTTCCCTATATTGCCTATCAATGAAAGCTGCCTTTGTAGTAATTGTCACATGAGTATGAAAAGTACAGGAGATTTACATCTTCAGGGTAGATCCCTCTTAAGTTCTGTCTCAACAGAATAGGATTGCTCTCAGTGCCCATCCCCATCTTGCCTCAGGTTGCCTCAGACTACCAATTTATGAACCAATTTATTCCTCTCTCACTATTCTTCCCCAAGCTTGGTTCAGCTTCAGAAACTGTATATACTTGATGCAGCAAAGACATCACAACTCATTGTAGTAGAGCTCAGGGAGCCTCTGCTACCTATCTAGAAAATGGTCTTATTTTTTAAATTTATTAGGTAGCTTTGGGGAGTTTGGTCTACACATTCACAAGATATTTTTCCTTCGGTAAAGGTTTCCACATTGGATGCCTGGCATGGTAGGGTAGCCTGTTCAATCACTGGCTAAGTGGAACTCCTACTTTCTTCTCTCCAGTATACATACAACTGCTTGTTAGTTTCCAGGACTTGAATCCTTTTGGACAATCCCTGGGAGAAAAAAAGGCAAGTAACTGGGTTTTTTTGGGGAGATACACAAATAAAAATTAACTTTATATATTTATGTAGTGTTTCCATACATGAAAATGAACACTGAGGGAGTTTATTATTGTAGTCTCAAGCACCTTATTCATTACAGCAACCTTAGTTGTTAGTTAGGCTCTCACTTAAAAATATGATGTGGTTTTAAATTCTCTATGTTCTGTAGTTCTATAAAGTACAGCAAAACATTTGTTTTACTTTCAGGAACCACTCTGTATTTCTGGGAAGAGTTACACTCTGCTGAGCTCAAGGTCTTCAGAAACAAAAAGGAGCTGAACATTTAGTAATATGGGTCTGGCTTAAAATCTTTTTTGTAGCATAATTCAGTAACTACAAACTTAAATAAAAGGGCCATTGTCATTGCACTATAGTTTGAAAATCATGCTACTTTATATATCAGTGTGCAGGTTTGCATCTTGGTCCCATTTTCACAATTGTGGAAGAAAATAGGGGAAAATGTCAGTTACAAAAGACAGAACATATTGTACAAAAGCTGAAGTTTGTTACCTTTCTCCAGCGGGCTTATTTTTTTCCCAAGGTACACAGACTAGTGTGCAACATCTAGCTGTGCCACATGCTTGCGAACATGGCTGCTCAGCAGGGAATGAAAAAGGCACAAGCCAATTGATGAGTGTCTCACAGTATTGTCTCATAGTACAGCTACTATTACATATATTCTCACATGACTGAGATGTTGCATAAGACTTTTTTCCTGATCATTATGATGCACATTGGCCCATTATTTGTAAATTATAGTAAAAGAAATGTTTCAACAAAAGGAGGTCAAGACTTTGCCTGTGAATTATATGGATGCTTTAGTGGACAACATACTAATTTTGAAAGTCATAAGTTTGTAATGTCCACACCAGTCTGTTTTGTGGAATCTGTTTTGGAGATGAGGACCAGCCAGTGTTTTCTGGTTAGAATTTTCATCAACCAATCTCAGTTCCTGGAAAGGCAAAGATTTGAAACCCTCAAAAGCAATGTCTAAAGGGTAGTTGTTCTGCTTCCTTTGTCGTGTTTATGATACCCATGCATGCATACACACAAGCAAGCAATCTACATACACAACCCACTGAAAGAGCATGTCATCACTCCACATTTTTAAGCAGAGGAAGTAACTTTTAAATTGATACATAATTCAGACAAAATAATCATTTTTTTCCCCCACCACAATCTGTTAAATTTGTTAAGGACAAAATACCCCAGGTACATAAGCCCCATTTTTCTTAAAGGTTAAAAATAAGTACAAGCAATTCCAAGCCCTATAACAAGTAAGGACAATATGCTACAAGGTGTCTTGCATTGCTCCGAATTACACCTGAGTTAGCAGATAATTCCCCAGTAGAACTACCAAATGTGGCGTGGATCTGAGCACACTACTATCCAACTTCCACTCTATACAAAACAACTTGCCTCTTTTTCATAAATGTTTTGCAGGGAGTAGCAGACCATGGTAATGCATGTGGTGTTCACTGTGCTAGCGTACAAACGATTTTAGAGGCAAATGCCATCTTTCTTTCAGGTTCCAAATGCACATTCCACCACCATTCTGAAATTGCTATGAGTGTAACTGAATGGCCTTCATGGCACCAGGTTAACTGGATATGGCTTCATCAGCCATGATAGTAGAGGATAGGTGGGGTCCCCCAAAATAATGGTGGGCACCCATGACCCTTCAGCTTCTTTTATATGGCTGATGTAGATACAGAACAGCAACTATAACTTTACGTTTAGGTAGCTGAGCCAGACAACTGCATCAGGAAGCAGCAGAGTATGCCACCGTGACACCTTCATATTTGTGGATCAGGCATTGAGTCATTATATGTTCCACCTTTCCATGGTCTGTTCTGGGTGACCACAGTTGCACAGTGGAGTTTTTATTTTACTTGTGCATCAAGTATCTGCATTTCCCATGGTTTGTGAAGATATAGTTTAGAGTTACCCATGAGCATCACAGGAGATTGAGGCCAGGGATCTTCTGTGTTGGATCTATCACAAGATATTTATTTGGGACTTCCTGTGAATTCCATTCAGTTTTCCAAGCTTCATCAGGATTGAAGTCACATTGTTGAAGGGTAAGGGTGTGGATCCTGAAGGGTTTAAGTGACTTTAGGTGATGGTGAGGGGTCTTGCTGAGGTCCTGGTGGATAGGGAGATGTTTGTTTTCCTTAATTGGTTTGACTTGCTGTAGAGTTGCTGCCTTGCAATGAATGGCTGGAGGAGCAGTGTGTGACAGCACGGGCAGCCAAGATGGTGGGGCTGACTAGAGGGTTCCAGTGATGCACATTGCAGAATTCAGTTGGATGTCAACAAGTCAAGTGTGACTGCTTCTGGTCCATACTGGTGCATAGTACTCAGCTATGGAGTATGCAAGGGCCCTGATGCCTCTACTACTGATGCAGATGCTCCCAAGATCATACTTGCTAATTTCTGGACCAAATTGACCCTTACCTTCATTTTATCAGCTACCTTCTTCAGGTGATTATGGAAGTTAACGTGCGGTCCAGCCCCACTCCAAGATAAGACAGAGTGGAAAGGTCCTCCTTGGAAAGGTCAATGAAGATGTGCTTCATTACATGGAAAATTTTAAGTCACTATTGGTGATCTCCAACTGATACATTCCCATCACGTTACGTGAGTTCCTGTGTTCTAGAAATGCCAGTGTAGTCGGAGATAGGGCAGCAACTACAGTATTCACTGTTCATTTGTTGTATGTTTTCAAATCCAAATTTGTTTGTTCCAAATCCAAACATCCATGTTGTATGTTTCCAAATCCAAACTTCCTCACTCTGTCTTCTCTGATCTGATGTCTCTAAATCACAAAAGATGTGCTTGTTTCACAAAAGTGAGTGGTGTGCTAGGCTGACAAAAAGCGCATGCAGTGGTGGGCTGCAATAACTTCCACTCTTGAAGTGATTAAAGAAAGAAAAGTACTGCTACAGTGCACCACACACCAGACTAGATGGACTCCACTGTGTGGTGTTAAGGAACTTGGATACAACCTCACAGATGCCAATACTGGATGTGAGTTTGGCTTTTGCCACGTAAAAAAAAAAAAAAAAAGATTATGAACGGTACACCATCATCCTTGGACAAGAGGATGGAATATTGATGAATGCTGAGGTCAAAGAAAGAGGGGAAACTCCAAGATTGGGAGGAGAAACCACATGTAGCAGAAGGATCCTGAACTCTTTAGAGCAGGGGTGTGCAATTATTTTGGGCGAAGGACTACTTACCGAGTTTTGGTAAGCTGTTGAGGCCCTGCATGGGTAGACCTGTCCCTTGTCAGGTGCCCTGCCCCCTGGTTGCTATCTTGTGACGAAGTCCTGCACCCTAACCCTTTACCTGTGCCACCAGAAGTCCCTCCCTTGCCCCCAGAAGTACTCCTTTCAGCAAGGGTGTTTGTAACCAAAAAAATACCAAATTATATTCTAAAAAATGAACATCTAAAACATTCATTAATTTGATTTCAAAAAATATTTTTATACTGATTTACATGTGTTTGTGTAGTGTACACAGAGGTGATTAAACATAATAGCTTAAAATTAAGTCTTACTTTTGTATATTGGGGGGGTAGGTATAGGTTTGTGGGAAGCTGTGGGTGTGTGGATGTGGGGTAGGGTGTGGGTGTCTCTGTGAAGGGTGGGAGGGTGGGGTGAGGGAGCATGTGGGTGTGGATATGTGGGGGGGGGGTGGGTAGGGGT